CACACTCGCAAACACAAACTGGTGCGTTTCGATATGTATATTAATGGTGCGCTACATTTACACGAGTCTATCGTCACACTTAACACAATAACGATCACACGACACGAATGGCCGCAGCCATTAAGTTACAATGCTTACACTCGACAATGACTTTTCTTTCCTTTTATACTCGCATCTTCCGGCTTTGTACAAACGGATGCGGTGAAACAACTCCCAATCCATTTTGTTCTCTTCATTTTATTTTCAATAATTGTCTTTTTTTAATATGTCGTCCCGCCACCGTGCTGTAGTCGCAGTTGACAGCGGGGCTCCTCCGTCGTTGGTGTACATAATTCGCTCGATATTTCGCTTAATTTGTTTCTCGTTACGTTTACAGCAATTTTGGCACCGTAATCACACTCGCTTGTTATAACAGTAATCTTCGAGGAGATGTTGACGGGCGCACGGGACTTGCAGCTGCCGTCAGAAATTATTTACATGTTCCCAAAGAGTCTCTTACAAATTAGAAGCACCGTAGAAGATTTCATTGCCAACCAAAGTACAATCAGAATCGAAGTATTATTCAAAGAATTTATTTTATCTTTATTTAGCGTATTATCATTTTTATTGGCGGCGTTAGCTTCAAGTTCAGTGTGCTAGAAACAACAGAAACGTAGGACTACGGTAGAAATAATTTATCGGTGGAATTAGGGTGGCGATAAGACTAGCCTGACGTCAGCTGACATTGAAACCGAGGAAAAGGAAGAATCTACCGCTGAACCTGTTAAGACGCCGGAGCCATCCGAGTATGAAGACGATAAGGTGGATGAACCCGAAGGGAAAGAAGAAGAGGAGAAGGTTTCATTCGTCACTTACTTCAAATTCCTTGTAGTGATGATCAACAGCGGCCTAACATCGATGACTAAGTATTTGAACAGGTTCTCGAGGGATTACAGATACATACGAAAGGTTCTGGCGAAAGAAAAGAAATTGCTAAAGGTACAGAAGACACGTTAGTCGATGGGTCTCATTGAACTGTTAATACTGTAATTATTCTTAATTAGGCGAAACCAGACTTCCGAATGGGTATGCGGTTGGGTATCAATCAGATGTGGCAACCGATACCACTGATGAAGACAAGGTGAGACGTCAGACAATAAATATACTACAGTTAGAATCTTAATTTCCTTTTAGCTTCTCGAATATTTGTTCGTAGATGCTTAGCTGTATGAATTATTATTAAGATATTCTTTTTCGAAGGAAACATTGAAAGGTCCCTAGAACGTTCGAAGAGAGAATCAATCTTGTTACATCCTAATTTAGCGGAACTTTTAATGAAGATTTCACATGAAAGATTGAAGCGCAGCAGTATTGATTCTCTCGTACACAAATATTGTAGCTTTAGATAGTACCTCACTTCGATACGTAGCTTTAGTATTGGTGTGCTTGCCCCTCGATAGTTCGATCCTCGACAGAAATGATCATGAAAGATGATCCCTTTGAAGAAGGCGTTTTAAGCTAGACATTATACGGTAGACGCTAGATTAGTAAATGTGCTCGCTCTGACAGATCGGCATCTAATGGAAACACTGAGGAGCATTACGATCCTGGCGAGGGTCCCAGCCGACCTCAGACTCAGGACCAAAGGTACAATTTGGTTAAAGAAGCTTTGCTTATGTAGTCAATCTCGTTAGTGCAATTCTGTTCGCTCCTTTAACTTCCTACTAAACTCCTCTGTCAACTTCTCTTTCCATTTTACCAAATATTCTTCAACAGAAATCATTGGACTAATTTACTTGCAAAGATCAAATCAAAAGGTGAAGGAAGATTAAATTCATTATTCAAACGTGAATAATCTAACTGTAATCAGAATTTACTAAATTTAATTCTAAGTTCGATATACTGCAACTTCTAACCATTTCCACGCAAACCCACTACGAAACTCCACGAATCCTGTGCCAAAACGTGCCAGAGATCCATGATGTCCCTTTTAAACAGGAGGAGCGCGCCAAAATCGTCGGACGAAGCAATCTCCGACCAATTTAAGGACGCTCTGCCTAATAATCCCTCGTAAGTCCTAAGTTCCTCTCACTCCTGCCATTGTCTTCTTCCAAACTTCTCTGTTATCTCAAACCGGCGGTGTTCACGTTTCATTTGAGAGTGGTTGTGTCAGTTTCACCGACTTAACGATATGTGTAACTCGAAACGTAGAAACGTAGAAAGAGAGAAGTATTGTTTTTGCCAGGAAAGGAAGCTCGCTGACGGTTCCGCATATCCGAATTCTGGCGCCGAGTTTGGAGCGAGGATTGGACATGTCCTCCTCCAGGTATCGAGAATGTTTCGTTCAATTTTACACGGTTTCTCGATATACACTCCGCACGCGAGCACTCGCTAGAGGCACTGCGTCTCATCCATTGTTAATCTTCTCGAAAATTCACCAGATATTCGGATGTCTCAGAGGACATTGCATACTTCGTGGAATTTCTTAACGTACGAACCATCGCTTAAACAAATTGAAAAGTCGCCCGACATTTCATGAGACATCCAAATATAGTCACGAGGCGAAAATTTTTCGTTTGATTTTCTGTTTCATTTTCAAGGATTCTTGTAGTACCTAACAGAGCTTTGAGTGTGCTTTCGATATAAATGTCACAAAAGGAAGGAATCCACTTTCTTTCTTCTGTAAATTGTTGCTTAGATACGTGCTCCAGTTGTTCGATCCAATTAACACGAGTTTATTCCGCACGCAGCACAATTTTCTCCGAAATATCACCAGTGCAACACGACGACGAAGGTGCAGAGTTATCCGAGGTCGATCAACCCCCGATAATTCAATTGCTGGCGTCCATTTGGTTCGGAGTCCTGGCTCACTCGAGCCTCCTCTGCTACTTCGTGGTGTTTCTTCATCAAATTAAAAACGCGTCGGTATTGTCCACTCCGTTGCCTCTTATGGTGTTCTGCTGGGGTTCGTTAACCATTCCACGTCCCTCGAAAACCTTCTGGGTCACCTTGATCGCGTACACCGAGGTAAAACACGGAACTTCTTAAGTAATTACTAATCATTGACAACGAATAAATTCATCAAATTTCACTGTCTCTAGGCAATTGTCATTGTAAAATGCATTTTCCAATTGGAATTACTGCCATGGAACAAAGTAGCAGCCCCAAACAATCCTCTTTTCACTCCCAGGATCATGGGAGTCGAACGAAAACCAAATTATGCCCTCTGGGATCTGTTAGTTCTGCTTATGGTGTTCTTCCATAGGTAAATTATTTTCGACAACTTCTTAATACCGAGTGTAAAATAACAGAAGCTGATAGAAGGTTCATTTTTAGATTTATGCTGAAATCGTTAGGACAATGGACCTCGCCATCTCTTAAACCAAGGAAAATCATACCCTCCACCTTAACTATTGTTCCATCGAAGCCACCACCTGCGGATAAAGGGCAAGGGGAGCCCGTCACTCGTCAAGAAGATCCAGAGTAAGTCCTTAGTTCGAATAATAAAATTCCCGAATCTTTTCCCATGGAGGAATAATTAACAGTTGCGAGTTTAATACCGAAGAAATTTATAAAACAACCTTCCCTTTCTCAGTGATGGGTCTGTTGTAAGAACTCCTAAAGGAAGAACATTAAATATGCACGCAGCCGGTGACGCAGAGAACGTGCAAACAACCGATGAGCATGAAAAACTGGTCGCGATTCAGGGTGAAGAGTTAAATCCGCACACTGAACAGCTGCAAGCAGCCATGAACATGACGTAAGCATTCACATTTTAAAAGTTACAGATTGATCCTACGATTTACCATTAATTTCTTAGCGTCGACAAGTATATGCAGCCGACAAAGAACTTCTTCACGCAAATTCTGAGTCCTGTCGGCAAAGAGAAAACGAACGTGTACGCGTACATGTTCCTCTGCGATTTCTTCAACTTCTTGCTACTGATCTTCGGATTCTCCGCGTTTGGCGTGAGTGTTTTGATTTCGATTCGATAGCTAATCGGATCGACTAAGGGCTAATTGGATTGTTATTCTGCAGACGCAGCAAGGTGACGGAGGTGTCACTGCCTATCTACAAGAGAATCGAGTGCCAATGCCTTTCTTATTGATGCTATTGTTACAATTCGCTTTGATAGTCATCGACAGAGCTCTTTTCCTGAGGAAATCGATCCTAGGCAAACTGATCTTTCAGTATTGCCTAATATTCGGTGTCCACGTCTGGATGTTCTTTATTTTGCCCAGCGTAACCGAGAGGTAATATCCCGAACGAATTAGGAATCGAATTTCTCGACTTTTTCGTGGAAAAGTAACTATACAAATGTGAATGATCATAGGCAATTCAACGAGAAACTCCCACCACAAATCTGGTACATGGTGAAGTGTTTCTACCTCTTGCTGGCTGCCTATCAACTACGGCAAGGCTACCCAACGCGTATACTTGGCAACTTTTTGTGTAAAAAATACAGCATCGTGAACTACGTCTTGTTTAAAGGGTCAGAACACCTTCCATCCTTTCGATTTCGAAATGTTTAGTAGATTTCATTCTAAAATAGTCCTCAACCCTACAGATTCATGTTGGTTCCTTTCCTGTTCGAGCTGAGAGCAGTGATGGACTGGATTTGGACCGACACGTCCATGACAATAATGGACTGGTTCAAAATGGAGGACATTTTCGCCAGTATTTATCAAATCAAGGTATGTTGTACAATGTTACACGTGAGAATTATAAAAAAACGAATGATAAATACATTGCTTAGTGTATGAGAGGAGTGGAAGCTGATTTCCCGCAACCGAGAGGTGTAAAGAAGAAGCAAATGAGCAAATATTTAGTCGGTGGAGGTGCTTTGTTCCTCATAATCGGTCTCATTTGGTTCCCTCTGCTATTGTTCGCGCTCGGTGGCACTGTCGGCGACTCGAATTTGCCTTACGATGTTTCTATGAAGATACGAATCGGTCCGTACGAGCCGATCTACTCAATGTCCGCTCAAACTAGCTCTATTGTTGGATACAGTCCAGCCCAGTACAAAAAGTTCACGGATTTATATGCGAAGGACAGACCAGCCGTCACTTTCCTGGAGAATTATATTCATTCGGATGTAGCTGCAGTTAGACTAAGCGGATTTTCTCGGAAATTGTGGAGCATATCACCGCCAGACTTGCAAAGGTGAGAGAATTATGTATTGCTATGGAAGAATCCTTCGGTACAATATAATTAAAATAAAACAAGTAAGAAAGTTTTGTACGTTTAATTTGATTAAATAACGTTCTTTATTACAGACTGAAGTTTGAGCTAGAGGATAATAGTACCACCGTGGTAATCCACGTGGAATGGACAGTGTCGCGGAAGACGTACGCTAAAGATGCTAGCGAGGTGACAACGAAGTTGCGGGATATTCAGTTGCCACCTTTCGTTGATGGAGAATTTAATCCCGTAAGGCTGAAACTGGCAAACATGCTATCAACTGATAATTCGACAGCCCACAGTGGCACTATAACATTGCCTAATGCTTTCCCAAAGTTCTTGAAAGTGACTAGTTTAACGACCGACGTTGTACCTCAATTAATGCAACCGAGTAAGTAATAAGGTACACAAAACCCGACGAATGAAGTGATCATTAAGTAAATCTTTCAGTAAATACACCGGATGAAGAAGAAATTGAAACAGACAACAGTTATCTCTTCAGAAGCATCAATCTTCACCTATCTACAGACGCAGCTTGTTGCGCTCGTCAAAAATGGTGGGTCGTGAAAGAAGTCTGTGATGACGATTTGTACAATCAACGACTAAAGGACGTGCCATTGAACAATTGCGACTACATCATGATGTTTTTATTCAACGATAAAACGTTCCCGGAGGAACTCAGCTTCATCAGCGGTTTCGGGTACGTCTGAAGAAACTTTATCGACGCGTCGACCGCCATTTTGTCGCACGAAGTCGATTCGTTTGGATTCGATAAGTTCACTTTCTCGCGTTAAATGTTAAACGCGTTTGGTTATTAATATTTTATTAATACATCCATACTTTTACAGAATCTTAGGGCTTTACACTACTGCAGTAATAGTTATAAGTCAAATGATGAGGAAGATAGTGAGTGACATGGCGCCAAAGATTATGTTCGACGATCTGCCTTATGTGGATAGAATCCTCAGGCTGTGTTTGGACATTTATTTGGTTCGCGAGAGCGGTGAATTGTGCCTCGAGGAGGATTTGTTCGCCAAATTAATATTCCTCTACAGATCGCCGGAGACGTTGATCAGGTCTTGTACCAAACTATCTTTTTTCGTAATTTTCATTGAAATAACATAACCATGATTGTAGGTGGACGAGACCTCCCGAGGAAGGTGAACGAAATGATGATAACGATGACCGCGATGAAATTGAGGATGACAGGGACGAATCTGTGCGAGCGGATTCTCGAAGGGAATGAATGATCAGACTGTGAAGAAAATGGCGGAAAGCTTTAGTCCTCGATTAAAATCTACTTCGAGCGAGAAACTTCAGAGAATGTTATAATAATTATTATAAGTAATTTGTTATATGAAGTGCAAGAGAATTTATATGAGGAAACCGTTGACAATTTGGAATGAAGACAATAGGTAGCGCGATTGCGAATGGTGGCGCAGCGAACGCCATGGAAGCTCTTAAAAACTCAGGAATTTACGACCACCGTGTTTGTTGAGATTGTTCCTACCTAAAAAAAGTCTATCGTAAATGAATATGTATATAACGGAATAGGGATGGCGCGAGGAAGAAACTAACATGACAAGAAGTAACAAAGAAACGGCTGAAGATTTATGAAGAACTTAAAAATACGTTCTACCGTCTTTGTTTCAGAAACGTACTGCAAACCTTTTACAGACCTTTATTTTAATATTTATTATATAGCATTTATTAATGTATAATTAATATTCGGATCATGACACGCCTGTCACACGAGGAAATAATTTTGTCACAAACGCTTTATACATTTCGCAGTCTTCGAGTGATACATCGTATCGTACTAGAGATAGTGCTTTGTTTTTAATTATCATTTATCAGGATTCACGATTAAACCGAAGTGCATTTCCTAGCATATTGCATTTAAGATCGCAATCTACGTACATAAAGAAGAAATTGTTAAATCCTCGAGGATTAACAAGCATATATCTCCGAAACTGCCGTCGTCGCGATTCTTAGTTCTCTTTTATACCTTTTCTAATCGTCGAAACATTTAGCTGTCGCTCGAACATTACCTGGCTATTTAGCCATGCGTTTTACGCTCGTTTTATATGTACATGTATGAATTACATTTAACAGAGATTTAATATCACAATGGCATCATTATTTGTAAATATACATTTTATGATCTAGATTTTGTCAAAGCATTGTCATGTCACCTCGATACGCTTTTTAAAAGTATCTTCAAATATAAATTGTTCGAAATCGATCGACTTTGTTCTTTTCCATGATTTCAACGATGATCTTTTTTATGGGGAATACATAACTCAGTTCCGTGAAAAGTAGTTTATTCAACAGTTTTGTACAGAAAACGATTAAAAAATTTTCTTTTAATAAATATATCAACCACAAACCAATGCAATTTCAACCATTTTGGGAACACGAATATTAAACATGGATAATACGTTTTTAAAGGTTAAAAATATTAGTAAAAAATATAGTCTTTTATTAATCTAATTAATCATTATCACTTAATACATAACAGTTTCAAATGTATTGTGTAAGGAAAACGTGTGCAGGCAATAGAATGGAATGGATCATTTCTTCATCAACTTCCTAAACACTCAGGGTCACCCTAGGATTGCCCTAGGTTAAAAAGCCTAGCAGTTCCAGCTACTATTTCAATAGCTCCTTGCATTTCAACTTTAGTGTAAGGTTTTCTTGTTTCAGAAATTCCAATTCTTCTACTTTTTTCTGCAGCTCCTCATTTTGTTTTTGCAAAATAACAATATCCTCCTTTAATCTCTCATTTTGTTCTATTAAGCACCTCATTTTACTTGAATCTTTAGTGGGATGCATTTCATTGATTAATTCATCTGTTTGGATCATTAATTGCTTTACCAAATTTGCTTGAGCATTGAAATGTAATTCTTGCATTGCTCTCAAAAGTTTTGAGCTCTCTTGTTTTGTTTGCATGCTCACAATATCTCTAATATCATTAAGCAGAGCAGCAGAATCACTTTCTTTGGTATCTGGATTTTTAACGGGCTCATGACTTTTTGTTTTTTCTTTAGGGACTTCTACATGAGAAGTAGCTTCCTTAGAACTGTCTGGAGGTCTACTATTTTCTTTAACACATGCATCCAATGCTTGATTATTTTCCTTATAACTTCCAGAACGTCTAGTACGGTCTTTGAATGTGACTTTAGTGTCACTGATTCTTACTCTTGTCTCCCTAGCCCTTGACCTGATGTCATCTTTAATTTCATGATCATCAGGTTTTACTTTGTTCTCAATGGGCTTCAATTTACTGTCACTAACTGTTCTTTCTCTCTTCTCTGAGATCTTAACTTTCATCTGTTGCTTTCTCGTATCATGTTCTCCTAATTTCTTTGTTTCTTTCGCGGTGTATTCTTTCAAAATTGATTGTTTCTCAACATATGTAGGGTGCTCAATTTTATGATTTAGATTGTCTCCTTTAGTTGATTGCAACTGATGCAGTGGAGTGGATGTAACAGCTCTTGTTGTTATATGTCTGTCTATTGTATGGGTATTAACAGTTTTAGTATCTGTGGGTACCAAATCCAAGTCTTCTAAGAAAGAGTCATTCATTTTCTTTTTGTATATAAACTATATTTTATTTTAACAACAAGGGACACACAATATCTGTGTGAATAAAAATACAATTTCCTTAGGAACTTTATTAAAACTTAATTGGCTAAAGAATAATGTATATTTGACAGTGATTTTTAAAGCTCTTTAACACAAGTCCGTTTCTCCCTTCTTTTTAATCACAATGTCCAACAAAACAGATTATTTTGAACCCTCAAACGAATATTCATTGTGCAAATTCAATGCCCTTAATTAGTTTGCACCAGTCAATCAGAACAGCACAAGTTTATTTACTGTGGCACAATCGTGTACGGCATTATGTATTCGATGAGTTAAAAATAGCAACAATTCCCCAGTAACCTTCGGTTAAATTACCGGACATGAACCTCGATGAATAACTGATTTAAATTAACTTGTTTGGTAAGTCAGCTGACACAGATTCGTTACAACTTACATCGCCATCTACATTATAAATAGTACTGATTTGAATTCTGGGGATGTTTAAGTTTCATCTTTCTTGTTGCAAAATTAAATGTATCAACAAAGGCTACAAATTGTAATATATTTAAGGCTATCGAACGCTCTCTATTCCTGTAAAAAGATACAAGTAAAACTAACTATTTTCGCTTTTATGAGGTAGCCTTAAGTCCAATGAAACTTAAGGTTCTGATAGGATATAGAATACATCTAATATTCTAAGCATATCGAAGAATAATACAATGTTTATAAATAGAAAAATATTAATGGATAAATATAAAACAAAATTTACTATACCAAATCAATGGACATCATTTTCTTCTCCAATTAAATGCGATTAAATGGAGCTCGACGTTACACTGTGCTTCTATCAGGCGACATGATTCTTCGATTAATTCGAGAGTGATACGATCCTCCGGCTGCAGATGGCGCTGGCGGTACTTTCGAACTGCGGAGGATGTAGGGAAGAATATGAAAAATCATTTTCTCCGTTGGGGTCATGATATCCGGGTCACGTTCAAGTGTAATTAGACGCAGTTCTCGTTTAGTATTGAAAGGGAAAGTTTGGATAGGTCACGGTTTATCGTGACTATTAACGTGAAAGATGACGGCCACAATAGTATCAGTTCTACAGTTTTTATTCTTTATTTCAATTGGTATTGAGAATGCAAGAGGATTCACGAATATGTATCCGAAATTGAAGCAATATCCACTGCCATTCGATGTTGATGTCGGCGAGCCGCTCTTCTTGACGCCATTGATTGAAAGCGGTCATATAGAAGATGCTCGAAATAAAGCTCTTGTACAGAATAAAGAAATGTACGATGTTAGCAGTTACGCTGGCTACATTACCGTGAATAAAGAATACAATTCGAACTTATTCTTCTGGTTCTTCCCTGCTGCGGTAAGTAATAATACGGAGAATTAAAATATTAGTTTCAATTGTTGTTATCTACCATTCTGATTAAGTCTTATCTAATCTGGGAAACAAAGGAAATATATTAAAATGTAAATGAGACTTTTATTTTTAAATAGCACGACCCAAAAACAGCCCCTGTAGTGTTATGGCTACAAGGTGGCCCTGGGGCAACATCAATGTTTGGTTTATTTATGGAGAATGGTCCTTTCTTTATCAATGCAAATAAAACCCTTCAAAAACGCAAATACTCTTGGAATCAATCACATAATTTATTATATATTGATAATCCTGTTGGTACTGGGTTTAGTTTTACTGAAAATGAGAAGGGGTATGCAACTAATGAAACACATGTGGGAAGGGATGTACATACATTATTGGTTCAGTTCTTTACATTATTCCCTGAACTTCAAACCAATGATTTTTATGTAACTGGCGAATCTTATGCTGGAAAGTATGTACCTGCTGTATCCCATGCTATCAAAGACTTTAATATCAAAGCAGAAACAAAAATAAATTTGAAGGGTTTAGCAATTGGGAATGGATTAACTGATCCAGAGAATCAGTTGCTGTATGGAGACTATTTGTATCAATTAGGATTAATTGATGCAAATGGCAGAGATTTGTTCCACAAGTATGAGGAGCAGGGTAGAAATCTAATTAAAGAGAAAAAATATATAGATGCTTTCAGCCTGTTTGATATGTTACTCGATGGTGACTTAATTGGTTATCCATCATTATTTAAAAATTTAACTGGGTTTGATTTCTACTTCAATTACTTGTACAATGAAGATCCTAGCAAGGCTGACTATATGTCAGAATGGCTTCAGAAGCCAGAATCTAGAAAAGCTATACATGTTGGTAATTGTTCCTTCAATGTTGAAGCAAAAACAGTGGAAGAACATTTGAAAGGAGATGTTATGCAGTCTTTGGCAATATTGATAACAGACCTGACTAAGCATTACAAAGTTTTAATATACAATGGTCAGCTTGATATTATTGTTGCATACCCTCTGACAGAAAATTATTTACGTAATCTAGACTGGTCTGGTGCAGAAAAATATAAAACAGCCAAGAGAAAACAATGGTGGGTTGGTAAAGAGCTAGCAGGTTACACAAAAACAGTTGATAATTTAACAGAAGTCCTGGTAAGGAATGCTGGGCATATGGTTCCTTCTGATCAGCCACTATGGGCATTCGATCTTATCACGCGTTTTACACACAATAAAAATTTTTAAATACCTGTAATCAGCATTTAAAAACATGTGTGATAATATCTCCATCAAGGCTATGTTAATGATTTAACAATTTACGAGGAAACCTAATTTTAAGATAAAAATTTATAAACTTAATGTATACTCAGAAAGAAGCATGACAGTGTATTGTAGCCAATTTTGTAAGTATCTAGTAAACATTTATTGGCAATAAAAGATAAAAATATGTACATAAGCATCATATTATTGAGCTGCCTCTAAAATTCGTTTTACATATGTATAAGAGGTATTTACTTATCTTTGAATACTCCGATTTTATATACCCTTTACAGAATATTCAGATCCTTATTACATCCAAAAACTTCTGGTCATTTGTAAAAATTTGTACAGTTACATGTCTTGTCATGATCTATCGAAATCTTGCTTCTTAACGCGAACTGTCCTCCGCGTTACACGTCAATTCTTAATTCTAAATGATTCGTATTAATCTAAATATGGCAGTAAAAAGTCATCGACTATAGACACATTTTTGTGCCACTCATAATGAGGAACATTAGGTACTGTAATGAGCGTGAGTCTGCCGCTCTCCTCTAGCGTCTTTAATCCAATCGAATCGTCCATATAAATAGATCTATTATGCATGTCTATCACAGTTTCATTGGCATCGAAGAATCCGAAGTGACTGCTTTGCCACGGAGTAATTACCCCGTCCTCGGGACTTCCAATGAGCACCATGTGCTTCAGTTTGGTAATACCCCGTTTAAATTTTTCGGATTTCGTCGTATTCCTTTCATTATTCACATACGGGAGAAATCGACTGTACTTATAGTATAATTGCTGCGGAATAACGAAAGAAAAAACAATGAAAACTAGTAAAACTTTGAACAAACAACAATAAAAAAGACGACATACAAACCTGACGATGAGGATCGTTCCAATAATTAGCGATGCTGATACTTTGGCCGACTTTCGAGTAAAAGAGCTCGTAAGCGGTCTCGCACACTAGATCCGGGAAAAATAAATGCAGGAATCGCGCTGAAAATCGAAACAAACATTTGAAATACAAACTCCTTTGTTCGTTTCCGAAAATGGCGCTGCGGTCGCATACTTCCATATTGTCCTGCCTGTGGCGAGCTCAAAGAGATAAAGTTCCTCACATTATGATCGGGGAATCTTTGCAGTATGGCCCTAGCCAGCAAGCCACCTTGACTGTACCCGATTAAATTTATTCCCTCGGGAAACGCGGCGCCGATAGAAATAACATCGGTCCCTATTTCATCGACCTGCTTCCACATCGGCTCCAAACTGCTCCATCCCCCGTACCTTGGTGTATTGTAAATTTGGGTTCCAGGATGCATCTAAGATTTCATTTCGAAGATTTCAATTTTTTCACCCGTTGAATTGGAGCAGACGCGACATCTGAAGCGTCCTTCCCGTTCCTAAAAATGCACTTACCGCCTGAATACGATCGCTGATAAGTTGCATACTCTCGCTCCCCGTGAGCACGCCATGGATAACGACCACGGCGTGATAATTGTGAACACCATTGAAGAACACACTTATCAGTATAAACGAGAAAATAAAGCTAAAGTTTACCATAGTCATCGCTACACTAAATGAATCGTAGAACTGTCAAGAGCATCGCATCATGTCGGATTAAGGTCCCGTTTATATTGGGACGTCGAACTGATTGTTTCGTTCCTTCTGATTGGAGCGGAAAAATGCAATCAGCTGATCCATGTTTACGTTTGCATTGGAAACGCGGCTTGAGGATGGATTTCAAGGCCAACATATTAGGCGTCCCCTATCGTCGGCGCCGGAGAATGTTTCTTCGCCGTCGAGAATGAAGAGATTTCGTTTATCGACGATCAACGCTACCCTTGAACACGAAGAGGGAAGGAAATCTTCAAGGGTAGACGACCGTTTCCATCTGCTGGCAACTTCGAATGCGCTGGTTGTGTCGCGATAATGTCCCTAGGATCTCTTTTTCGCAAAGCAAAGCTGAGGATCCTTTAACTAGGAATTATTGGGCTCGGCCAAAGATTCTAGATACTTAGAGTCAAAAGATTCTGAAACGATTTCGGTGGCAGCACAGTTTAATGTGTCGCATTAAACCAGTAATCCTCTCAGAAACGTGTACAAGGTGGCGAGGCACGTGGCGTTTCCCGAACTCACTTCAACCATATATCACCGTGCTCCGACATCACCCCCAATTGTCACACGCAACTCGCTCTTCATGCTCAGACGCTGGAGCACATTGTTTCGTACACCGTCATCCCTGATTATAAACCTACACCCCTACAACGTGACTACTTACAATACCGTGTAATAGTTCAGAGCAATTACTAAGCTACATCTACGATATCAACCCCCGTGTAGTAATAAATAGCGTTGACTTTTCGAATTCTTGAGGACTGAAGAGAGCCACGTCTACGGACGCAATTCCTGGGAGTCGCCGAGTCATCGACGTTATGAAGAAACCAAGAAGTAGACGTCTCGTAGAGGACACGTTGACGGGATGAATAGTTTTCCGTAGACGTTATGGGGGACATAGATCTGGGTTGCAACTTCCTTGCGAGAAAACGATTGATTTACAAGCTGCGTGAAATACGGTAGGAACATCAGGCAGGTGAACCGACGGGCAGCAAAGCTGGTCGAAGCAAGGTACAACAATTTAAGGGATGCCCAGAGACGTGTGCGCTCATGTGCTTCTGATGTCGCATGCTGGCTCTAATCGAGTCCCCAGAAGCTTCAGAACTGGCAGCGTTTCTTTCTGTCCGTGGAGGGAAAGAACTGACGAGAGGGGAAAGAGAACGAGAGGAAAGACGGCCAATCCAATTCCACGCTCAAACCCGACCGTCGTGATGGCGGAGGGTGGCGAAAAAACGCAGCCACGGCCAGAGCGCGAAGCGAGCGTAGGTCTCGAAGCTTTTTTGCGTTTAATCAAGGATATTCGCGGTCGGCTGACTCGCTATTTTAGTCCACCAAGTGCTAACCGAGGCGCGCAACCACCAGCGACGACCATATCGCAGGAAGTGGATGAAGGAATCTTCGTCCTTTGACCTCGCAGGGACGCTCCTATCCGTCTCTCGCGTTTCACCGTGCGTCTCACATTACCTTTACTGCATCCTCCCAAAAATGAACATTTACCGATCACCTTTCGACGAAACGCCAGTGGAATCACTTCGACTAGCGAATTAGATAGATTCCATTGGAACCTGGAAAAGTATCCAAAGCATCAAAGTTCCCAAGAAGTGAAACCATCCCTGCGCCGTTAATTTCCGTGCATACGTCCGCGCGCAAGAGCAGCAATTCAGTTTCCAGTTTTGTAAATTCAAATATACACAACTCAAGATAAACGCACCTGTCCGGTTAATACTTGCAAAAATATGCGCGGAGCGAATTGTGTCTCACCACCACGTGGTGAAATGTTTCTTCCACCACATCACGAGGAAATGACCAACGAAGTAACAAGTCCGAGCGTGAAAATATTTTTCATCCCTTCGACGAACGCCTGTCTCCGATCCTCCCTCAGCGAAACGTCGATTTCGGTGAACCGCCGGCCACTCTTCAAGCCGCCATTTTCCAGCGTGAAGGAATCATAGATCCTCTTCAATCGGGAATCGACTCGAGAGGCTGTTTAAGGCCACCCTTCGAGGCTCGGTAAGTATAGAGGCGGGAGAGAAGACGAAGTGGGTGGTACGGTGTCGGAGGAACGGCCGGGAGATTAGCGTTAATTACAGAGTTGAGCCGTTCCGGGGTTGGGACGGGGCGCGAGGTATTTGTCACTCGGCACTGCTCTCGACTCCCGTTCTTCGTCCTGAATATTAATAACCCCGCGCCGTCCTTCGCCACCCACCCACCCGCGACATCCGATGAATTGCGCGGCAGACAACGCTACTCATTATGCTGACTGCTTGATTTCATCAGCGTCAGAAGCGACGAAAAATTAATCGCCCCCTGATCGGGGTAGGAATAAAGATCACCCTGTCGGTTCGCCACCGGCAGCCGAACGGCGATTTCATCGGGCCGATGTCGAGCCGTATTTTATGCGAGAAGACGGCGAACGTCTCCGTGTACCGCGAATTCGAAGCCCCGGAAGTCTCAAGACGCCGTTCTCCTTCATCCCCCGTCTCCGTATATCGTTTTTCCAAAAATTGAAGGATGGCACCCGCCGACCAATGCCGTTACCCCCATCCACGGGGCGCGCGTCGATCAATCGATATCATCCTCTCCGGTACTTTTCTGCGGTTGGTCCCTCGATGGCGGTCCCATTACCCCGCGCAAAACGTTCAGATATTCAAAGTCGGGGGAATAGTTTATTCATGGCCGGCTCGGAGAACTTAGAAAGATATTGGAAGCGGCCCAGGAGAGGGTGAAAAATAGAAAAAGAAAGCGGCGAAGCTGGAGAAACAGGGACCGAAGGAGAGATAGACGGAGAGGCTGATACAGAGCGAGACGCCGGTAAGGAGGAGGGGGGTTGCTGGGGGAGAGAGAGGAAGA